GTCCTGGATTTCCACGCCTTGCTGAGGTGTGTTTGATCACCCCCCTTCTAACTCGACCCCTGGGCCACGTAGGAGTGGCCCAGGAGTCGAAGCCGTCTTTCCACCCGGGAAAGACGGCTCCGAAAAAAAAAAAAACGTAAAAAATAATGAAATTACTTCGGTCATTTTTTGGTCAGGTCAAAGGTCATTTCAACAAAGGTCGTTGAAGGGCAAATTTCGCCGGTGTTCTGGTCGAGTGTCGACAATTTTCAACCAACCGGCGCATAGCTTGGAAACTTATAGAGCTACAGCACCCCGTAAAAACGCATTTGATAATTCTTTTAACGTTCCTTCTAAATATTCCTGTCAGATTTGAGCTAGCGACAACGGTTTTGCCTCAAGGGGCAGCAAAAGCTGCCGAAATAGACGATGGTTGCGGCCTGCGGGAGCAGTTTTTCTGAACTAAATTTTGACTCAAATCTTGCACGAGATTACTTTTACCGGCATCGTGTTCCTCTCTTAAAAACTGGCAAGGTTCTGGGGAGTACATCCTCTCTTCTGTAAAACGTGCCCTGCATGATCTTTATATGAGCAGACTGGAAAAAAATGTGATAACTCTTTAGGAGATATTGCCAAAAATGTGTTTTCGGAGTGATTTTTATGTTTTCTTGCCTGATTATGCATCATGGCGTTCTTTTATGGTCCATATCAGGCTAGCGACTTTAAACCTCGCCGGCCGAGGGGGGGCGGGTGCCGCCCCCCCATAGGGTTTTTCGCGATAGCTCCGAACACGCTGGCGATAGAGAGCTGAAACTTGGCATACCTGAACTTTGATCCAAGCCGCATCTTTTGACATCAACCGCATTTTTGGGTCAGGTCAGGTCACTGACCTATGACGTCATAAGTGAACCTCTGCACGGTCTTCAGATGTCGCAACTTCGCAACGCCCTCACTGCCAGAGGATATGTCACAGGGAAATGAAACTTGCAGGATCTAGTATCCATTATAAGTCTCACAACTTGTATATCTCGGATTTTTCCTAAAGGTCATATGAGGTCAGGTCATTTTCGTGACCTCACCATTATAAGTCAACGGGGAAAAATTCAAACTGCTATTCTGGCGCCGGGAGCGATCTCCAACTATCTCAAGCACACAGAATCGTGATTTGATGCACTTCTTGCAAGGTTAGATGCGTCACTTTTGCAATGTTGACCTTCCGTGACGTCATTTATGACGTCATCAAGGTCATATTAGTTTTTCGTCAATAACTCCCGATCAAATTGAGCTAGCGAGTCGGGAAAGCCACCAATGGACTCAGGAAGACCTGCCGAATCGAATGATATGCGACATGACCTCTTTCGACCAACTTCGTGACCTGGGGGTGCTGACCTGACCTTGACCTGAGGTCAACACCCTAAGTTGACCTGACCCGAACAAAAAGTATAGCATTCGACGCGCCTGAGCAAGGCGAACACGATGTTGCCAAAATCGCGGCTCTGCGGCCGTTTTTTGCGAAGTTATTCACCAAAAACTGAACCGTACCCTGGGGCACTTGACCTGACCTCAGAGGTCACCGGTTGACCTAGGACCTTAAAATTGGGTACCAATCTCTGCGTCTGGTAACGGCGCACACGCTCGTTTTTTCCGCGACGCGCTAGCTCCACCAGGGGCGAAACGGCGAGGGGGGTCGTACCCGCCCCCCCCCCCCCCCTCGGCCGGCGCGTATGTAGAAAACCAATAGGTCCGGCGAGGGTTAACCCTCGCCGGCACAGGCCATTTTGAGTCCTTCGACGGCACAAGGGGGGGTTGGTACGACCCCCCCTCGCGTTTGGCCCCTGATCGAGCTAGAGCTTCGCGGAAAAAAAACGAGCGTGTTGCCCGTCACGAGAGGAAGCCGATGATACCCAATTTTAAGGTCCTAGGTCATCGGGTGACCTTCCAGGTCAGGTCAATGACCCGAAAACCGGGAAAATCGGGACCTGTTAGAAAGTCGTAAAGTGTGGCTGCTATTGGTCATTTCACGATGGAACCGTGCAAATTATATTAGCGGGAAGTGGCGCCATCCCTAGTCACCTCCCACCTCCGCCAGCGCCGGTCGTGCCTCATCACGGAACAGGCCGTGCCACCTAGGTGCGCCGGGGAGAACCACAGGTCGCATAGTGCCACCAGATGTCGCGCACACACGACAGGCGCAGATATATAGATTTTAGATCGTGGGTGATATATTGTAACAGCGTTGATTTCTACCATGAATGTATTTTTCCAACTCACAGCGTGGGCGCAGGCACTGGAACCACAACGGCTACCACAACTGCACGTAAGTATGTCCAACATACGACTTATGTTTGGACTCGAGGCAACGCTGCCCCAAGCGGCCTTTTCCGTTAGGACGCCGAGCGACGGAGTGCGCGCAGCATTTTTTTTTGTTTTGTTTACCGGTTGAAACCCGCGGAGAGTCGAAGGTCAGGTCAGGTCAACCGGTAGGGGTTGTGACGTGTATTCGTAATACGTGCCAACCGCCTCGGACAGCTTCGTAACATGTTACTAAGGCACCAAAACTACTTCATAAATGTTCAAATGGTTGTTAAATTCGAATTCAGCTCCAAAAACTAGCCTAGAAACATGTAAAACTCGAAAAGTGAACCGAGGTCACCCGAGGTCACCAAAGGTCAATGACCTGACCTGACCTTCAGGTGACCTTGACACCCACCCTAATGCATGGGAGCAGCATCAAATCACATGTTTGAGCGTTTGAAACCACGAAAAGCTTGCAAACGCGCGGCTAATGCGAGCCGACATGCGCCGAACCGCGATTTCGGCCAAACATGGTCAAAGAAAACAGGTCACAGGTCAAAGGTCATTGGGGTCAGGGTCATGAAATTTTCAGGGTAGGTGTAAAATTGATCAATGCGAGGGTACTGAAAGTTTCGTCGCGATCGGCCGCTTTTTACGCGAGTTATTCGCGAGAAACCTTAGGGGGGTTGCATCAATCCCCCCGTGCCGGCGAGGGTTAATGTATTTTGAACAGCTATTGTCTAACGCTTATAATGCCGGGTTGGCTCGTGTTAAATTATGTTTTGCTGGAGCGCAAGGCGCTGTTCTGTGACCGAACTACGTGATGGGTTAAAACGCCCCAGTAAGTCGCGGGGCAAAAAGCCCCATGGGGCGCTTTACCACTTGTGTTGTTCCGACTACCCACTTCCTAATGTTCGGTAGCTGGCAAACAGTAAGTTTCTATGCATTTTATGTATTTTTTCAGCAACTGGATGGCAAAGGAATTATTTTGTTAACATTTGCATAACAATAATTTATTATTTGGCCTTATGAGGCAGGTGAAAAAGTTGCTCATACAATAGCGTCATTGCTGAACACCTGATAGGATGGAATGTGGCAACTTTAGTGCCGTGCCTCCAGAGGTCTAACGGACCTCTCATATAAGATTAACCCGCGTCCCGTTGGGCTCTGCAGAACAACGCGCCCCGTTGGGGGGGGGGGGGCATTTTGGCCCCCTAAGATCTCGAGAACCACGCAACCTAGCGACCAGCGGCAAACGGTGTTGGATAGCCCTATCAGGGAACTACCTTGTGACCCAATTTTATTGACCTAGGTCAAACCGATGACGTCACAGGTCAGGTCAAATGTCCAATTTTCACCGTTTACAGGCATTTCAAGAAATGCGTTGTAAAATCGAGTAAAATGCATTTCATTGAAAATCATCGATGGGGAAATGTTCTTCAAACACATATTTTGCTATTTGAGGTCACTGATACCAGGTCAGTTCACAGAGGTCAGGTCACTGCGCGGTCACAATATGAAAGTGTCGTGTGATACATGTTTTATGGTCCATTTTACATGACAAATGCGATTATGTGGGTCAAGCAGCCTATGGGGCCAGCTTAGGTCACGTTTTGGTCAAGGTCAGGTCAAGGTCAGGTCAAGGTCAGGTCAAATTAGGCCAAATTTCAAAGTTGATATTTTTGCATAAAATGGGTATCGAATCGATGCAGCTCGTCACGGGGAGTTCAATAGTGGTCTTTGTTTTGCCGTACGTGGTCTAGAATCGCTAAAAATTGAGTTAAAAAATTTGACGTCATCATTTTTGAACAGTTTTTTTCGCTATAACTTGGCCAAAAAACGAGATATCGATCTGAAATTTGGTATGTATATAGAAGAGCACAGCGACTATCACATAAATTCCGGTTTTTCGAAATTCGGATTTTTTTTTTGATTTTTAAAGTTTTTCTAAAAAAATCAATTTTTTTGAATTTTTTGGGGTCAAGAACCCAGAATTTTGAAAATCCGAGATAACAGTTTTGTAGCGCCGCTTTTTGTCTACTAAACCATATAAAGAACTTTGAAATTGCCTGATAACTGTAGATTTGGTGAGCGTTTCAAGATTGCATGTTTTTTGCTCATTTTTGCTCGAACATGACCTCAGTTTGACCTCAATAACTCCTGACCTAAGGTGACCTAAGACTTGAAATTTGGTGTGAAGGTGTCAAATTGATGCCCGGAAAGGTACTGAAAATTTGGCGGCGCTGCGCGCCGCCGTTTTCTTGCTATTCAGGAAAAAACACAGGGGGGGGCCAAAATGCCCCCCCCCCCAACGGGGCGAGGCTTAAGCCAACTACCATGTTAAATCTTTAATCTAGAGTATGGGACTTCTTGCCTCGGGCTTCACAAATCACTTCCTAGCTGGGAGTCCGATCATAAGTGAAAAAAAAATTTGAGGGGTGGAATTTAGAGTGAAATGTCCAAAGAACGCATTGAGCACAAGTTTAGCCTTTCGGGTCATGTGGGAAAAAAAGTTATGCAGCAAAATAAATTATCTGGGGCGGCTTACTCCAGGCTACCCTACAAAGTTTGCTTAAAACTGCATTTTGACAGCCCGCAAGCATTTAGATTCGAGATGTTTTCCTTGTTAAATCAGTAACATAGTTTTAGTTTGCCCTTCCCCGCATCGCCCAGCCACCTTTACGATCCACCACCTGTTGACCGTAGATGTAATGAGAAGCAACATGTTGGAGAAAAATGGCCAAATGTATTACACAAAAACAAAATGCCGAACAACAGAAACCATCACTGACATACGAGGAGTCACTTGTCAAACAGAGGCCAAAACTTTTTCGATTAGTCGAGTTTTTTCGAAGAGTTGTTTTCTCGCTCTAGCCAGTGAACTGATCGCTCTTGGCCGTGTTATCCGAAGACTGGCTATCTCCGAAGAAGCCCTGGGTTTGCGAGACGTCACTCTTAGCCTCGTTAATAGAGGCAGCGTTTCCCTGAGCGTCTCCCTGAAAACAGACACACTCTGTTAGCATGGTGTCAGGCAGGGTACTGTCAAATCCGCACAAGGCGCTAAAATGACAAAGACGATAACACACGCTGGAAGTCGAAACAAATTACATACATGCGTTGCAAGTTGCGTGCGTTATAAGACGATTTTCTTGCGCCCCATGAAAAGCCAAATCGTCTTACATACATACGGAGCTAGCTTCAAAGGTATTTGTTCATGTATCATAACATTTTCCTCTTTCTAGGTTCAGCCAGTTAGATCCTTTCATTTCGCGCATGTCTTTTATAATATTTTTTTTTTTAGAAAAAAAGTTAAAAGCAATACCTCCATCAACCAACAGAGCTTAATGATATGAACTTGTACTCTATATCACTCTGACACCTGTGGGCCTCAATTTTGAATATATTACCATCCCACTTACCCCGGCAAAAGCCGAGCTCTTCTGCAGTTGCAGGCCGGGCGCCTGGGCCTGGGCGGAGTCGGCTCCGGCTGCTCCATCGGCGGCGCCTCCTCCACAGCAGCCGCGGGTGGGGCTGGCAGCCACCGCCGCCACCAGACACAGCACCAGGATGGCCAGCTTCATGGTTATTGTCTGTGGGTGTAGGAGAGAGAGAGAGAGAGAGAGAGAGAGAGAGAGAGAGAGAGAGAGAGAGAGAGAGAGAGAGAGAGAGAGAGAGAGAGAGAGAGAGAGAGAGAGACAGACAGACAGACAGACAGACAGACAGACAGACAGACAGACAGACAGACAGACAGACAGACAGACAGACAGACAGACAGACAGACAGACAGACAGACAGAGACAGAGAGAGTGGGGGAGACGCTAATGAATTTGACCTGTGTACGGACTATAGAGTATAGAGTGCGTTCGATGTGACTAGTCTCATGCTTCGTATATTCAAAATAAAAATGAAAACATATTTTCTCTTGCCTTATGTTTAAGAAAAGAACAGGCGATGTAGTGAAGGTGTAGGATATAATTTTCAGCATAGCTGGGTAGACCGGAAATTTACCGTAGAATGACCAATTTGAAAACAGTGAACCTTCTATCAAATGCAATGCAAACTGAATGGAATATATATTGAATTGGTGCCTCTCCTTTTTGCCAAGCTGCTATTTTTTTACATTTGCGTTACAATCGTTGTGTTTTGTCGTTTCTGAAGGGAACGACCCATAAATGACGCTAGCTGAGTCCTACTTTATGGACAAGTCCTCCCAGTCTTACCTGTGGTTCTGCACCTGCAGCGTCCAAACAGTATAGTGATGACTTCCACATTATCGTTCCCCTTATATACTGGTTATCGCCCAGCAGAACAACAACAAACAACAACCTATGAGAACCGGTCCTGGCATTTTCAGAACTCAGCGCAACGACTTTGTCAGGGTACATGGGGCCCACTGGAATTTCCGTGAACAGCAATCCCTTAGAAACAGGGCGACCATGATATTTATGTGGACTGCCATTTTTCGCGATTTATATCACATTCGTTTTGCATGTTGTTTGGACTTATTTAGTGGCTTGAATCTGTCTTAGAATGTGGGAGCAAATAAATGATAATCTATTTTTTGCTTTAAAATATTACATTTACCATAATTTACCTATGTATATCAATGCATACATTTTATAAAATATCATAAGGATAACCGAAAGTAAGAGTAAAAAGAAAGAAGCGGCAAAGCACGAGTCAATTACGACAGATCTTCTTCAACAGTCGTGTGCGCAAGACAAAATTCGATGAAATTTGTTAAATTTGCTAGAAAAAGAGTCATTTATGGCGACATCAAAATTGAAATTATTGTTGAGCGAGGAAGAATCTAGGGCAATCCATGCTGGGCGATATAATCAATTTTGCATTGGTTTGCGGAAATGATTACAAGGCGTACGCAAGACTCATCCCTAAATTAACGAATAATCGATGCACGTACTTCACACGAATAATAAATGATCTTAGTTGCTTCTATAACCTGGAAACGACGTTGCAGCTTTGTAGCGTCCCTGTCATAAACAACAGCTTCCCGATAAATAAAACCGGTCTTGCATGACTGTTCTATTTTTGGTCGACCAGAGGTATATAAGGCGAGAAAGCTCTACTACGTCTCATGTTGTTCGAGTCCGAGACACTTGGAAGTAAGGTAAGTGCACTTGATGTCGCGTTTGTAAGTCCGTGTACACTGTACATGTAAATCGTGTCTTTTAGTGCAGTGTAATCTAAACCTAAAATTCAGTGTGAAGTTCTTGGTTTGTTTTAATGGGCGCAAGCTCTTCGTGCCTGAAAAGACCCCTGCAGAACTATGAGATGATAGTATAGGACGGAGACACTGGTTTGTGCGGACGATAATGTGCCGATGGGGCAGCCGCTAAAAAGGTCACCCCAGAGAGACTAGTGCAAACGAGGACCTTCTCTCTCCACTGGTTGTCTGGTGGGGATCACCACCAGCCCAGTTAAGGTGGTTTGAGTGAGGATGAGAATGGGTTGGTCCTGACAAAGGCAAAGACGTGTGTTGACGAAGTCTTATTGATTTCATTTGTTTGTTTATTCCTTTAAAAAAAATCTATATCAGAGGCAGTTTTCAAACGCTTTTTGCCCGTTCACCCACAGACAATAACCATGAAGCTGGCCGTCCTGGTGCTGTGTCTGGTGGCGGCGGTGGCTGCCAGCCCCACCCGCGGCTGCTGCGGAGGAGGCGCCGCCGATGGAGCCGCCGCAGCCGACTCCGCACAGGCCCAGGCGCCCGGCCTGCAACTGCAGAAGAGCTCGGCTTTTGCCGGGGTAAGAATACAGGATGACGTGGAGCATTACTGGTGTCTCAGTGCGTTTAGTCAACTTCTGGGGAGTGAATTTAACCCTCGCCGGACCTATTGGTTTTCTACATACGCGCCGGCCGAGGGGGGGGGGCGGGTACGACCCCCCCCCTCGCCGTTTCGCCCCTGGTGGAGCTAGCGCGTCGCGGAAAAAACGAGCGTGTGCGCCGTTACGAGACGCAGAGATTGGTACCCAATTTTAAGGTCCTAGGTCAACCGGTGACCTCTGAGGTCAGGTCAAGTGCCCCAGGGTACGGTTCAGTTTTTGTGTGAATAACTTCGCAAAAAACGGCCGCAGAGCCGCGATTTGTGCAGCATCGTGTTCGCCTCGCTCAGGCGCGTCGAATGATATACTTTTTGTTCGGGTCAGGTCAACTTAGGGTGTTGACCTCAGGTCAAGGTCAGGTCAGCACCCCCAGGTCACGAAGTTGGTTGAAAGAGGTCATGTCGCATATCATTCGATTTGGCAGGTCTTCCTGAGTCCATTGGTGGCTTTCCCGACTCGCTAGCTCAATTTGGTCGGGAGTTATTGACGAAAAACTAATATGACCTTGATGACGTCATAAATGACGTCACGGAAGGTCAACATTGCAAAAGTGACGCATCTAACCTTGCAAGGAGTGCATCAAATCACGATTCTGTGTGCTTGAGATAGTTGGAGATCGTTCCCGGCGCCAGAATAGCAGTTTGAATTTTTCCCCATTGACTTATAATGGTGAGGTCACGAAAATGACCTGACCTCATATGACCTTTAGAAAAAATCCGAGATATACAAGTTGTGAGACTCATAATGGATACTAGATCCCGCAAGTTTCATTTCCCTGTGACATCTCCTCTGGCAGTGAGGGCGTTGCGAAGTTGCGACATCTGAAGACCGTGCAGAGGTTCACTTATGACGTCATAGGTCAGTGACCTGACCTAACCCAAAAATGCGGTTGGTGTCAAAAGATGCGGCTTGGATCAAAGGTCAGGTATGCCAAGTTTCAGCTCTCTATCGCCAGCGTGTTCGGAGCTATCGCGAAAAAAACCTATGGGGGGGGGGGCGGCACCCGCCCCCCCCCCCTCGGCCGGCGAGGGTTAACCGTACATCAAACGTGATCTGCTGCTTATGGAGGTATCAAGGGGAAAACTGGCAAAGTTCATGTGAAGTTTTTATTTTTTTACTATCGTTCCATTATTCCCTTCACCCTGTTTCTATTTTCCTTTACATCAATCATTCGCCTATTCTAGGTAAGTTACACCTATTCACCTCCTCAACTTTAGCCTACTGATCCCAAATGCCTACACACCCAGACCTTATCTTACAAATGCCGTGAATAGGATTTGGCAGCACTGGCCGGAGTTACGTGCAATAATATGAAATGCATTTTTTACGTCCAGCTATTCCCGCCGAATGTGTTTAATGGCGTAGATGATAATGAATATTGCCTGAATGAATGATTGGATGAATGCTGAATAATTATGAGTCTTGCCAAATGCCGTGAATGCGTATTCACGGTATTTGGTAAGATTGGGCCCTGCTCTCTGTTATAAGCATCTGTCTTCTGTTGAAGCATGACCTCACCGCGACCAATTTGCCCCCAGGGCTCTACTGTGGGTAACGCTGCGTCAGTCAGCGACGCCTCCAGCAGTGCGTTCCAAAGCCAGGGACGAGGCGGATCCGTGCAGAGTGCCGTCAACAAGGCTGAAAGCAGCCAGTTCACCGGATAAGATGCTGGACGAGCTTGACATATTGTCACGGTTGTACTTTTACGTGATTGCACTTTGCAGAACTTGGAAAGATACATGGGCGCTTGAAGTGCTCTGAAGAGCTAATGTGTATTGCTGCGCTGTTTGGATATTGCTTGCATCAATACAAAAAAAGAAAAAGCTGGTATTGGCAGTTTTGGTTCGGTGCTGATAAAGTTCAGCCGTGAAGGTGTTTTGATTTAGACCCGCCTACCATCTCCTCCTGTTAAGTAACAAGAACAATATCAACCACAACAACAAAAACAGCATTAGCTGCATACAATGGCTTATTTGGATCCATGTTAAGTTGTATTGTGCTAGGCTAGCATTGTGCTTCCATTTAGCACCGCGTGTCTCTGTGTTGTGTTATGATTTCCCCATGCCTTTTTCGCCTTCGCCGAACACAAGAACTCTAACACGAACAGGGCATGCAGTACACCCACGAGGCGAAATGCTTGCATCATATTGCAGACTTTGAGGTGGCACCTTTGATTCACGATCATCATATTCCGATAATCATGTTTATAGCATCAACCACCCACAAAGGCCACCCATAAGCAGCAGCTCACGGGAGACCAACCACAACAGCCCTTGATGTTGTAACTCTCATCCCCTGTTAAAGTTAGTCCGGACTTTCCATGCCCCTAGCCATCACAATCATCCAGCCTAAAAGTGCTTAGTCATCGGTGCAGATGCCCTTCTTTGTCTAGGGGACCGGTCTCATGTCAACTCAGTTCGGTCGCCCCTGATTCACCGTCGTAAATGAGATCACCTTCGGAAGAAGCAGAGAAGGGGGAGCTTGGTGAAAATGGACGGCGTGGTTTAGGTGATAACCAGCGCAGGCTGGGATTGTCAGTGATGGGTTGTGACGGGGTTTCCCCCCAAACTTCCCGGGACAGGGATGTGGTGAAGGCAGTGGGAAGGGTGCTCAGTGCTCAGTGCTGGGTACGGGTAGGCGACGGCGGCTGCCACAAAGGGATCAAGTACCTACCCTGCTCAGTTGTCCAAGGTTCATTGTAAGGATGGGCGTGAGCTCTCTTGCTTGATGACTATGCGGTTATTCTTAATTCTTACGGCTAGAATTTGTTTTGTACTTACAAAGCGAAGAAGCTTTTAGCTCATTATTTTTTCTTTTCTTTTTTTGTATAATAATGTAGTTTCATACAGGGTGTCCAGAAAAAACGGATACTATTATTTTTTGCTGTAATTCCGAAAATAAACACCTTACATTTTAAAATGGCACATGCTTGTATTCGCCAAAATATGGCAAAACAGACAGCAGGTGCCACATGGCACGTAAACCCTTTGGTTAGTTGCGGCAGCTCCTCAAAGCAGATACGAGGTGCACTCCAGAAGTTTTGAGACTTTTTCAGTAGAGACAGTTAGTTGTTTCAGAACAGCATGAAACTCCAGTGACTATCGAAATGAGACCTCCCGAGTTCAATACACTTGTTGTAGCGCTCCGGTCACTTCCTGAAGACCCGCTGGTAGTCCTTCAAAGTGAAGGTGCCCAGGGCCTCTGTCACAGCCTCATTCATTTCCTCCACATCCTCCAACCGGCGTCCCCTGAACTTCTCGCTCAGTCTGAGGAACATCCAGAAGCCACAGATGGCCAGATCTGGACTGTGGGGAGGATGAGGGACAGTTTTGATGCCCATCTGTGTTAGTTAGCTCGTCACAATGATGGACTTGTGGGTGGGTGCGTTGACCTAGTGCAGGTGCCCCTGGCCAAATTTGAAGAGTCCCGGTCTATTGCGGCG